GAGACAATATCTCAAGATGATTAGCTCCAATCCAAGCTCCCTTCACGTTCTAGATGGATCCTCTCTTCTTTCTCTAGCAAAAATCACCCCAAAATGAAGATTATAAGCCCTTTCTTGCACTCAAGCCTTCCTCACTCTCTCTAGGGTTTCTCTGGAATAAGGTGGCCTCAAATGACGGCCATAAGGGCCTTTAAATAGGGCACAAGCCCCGAAAATTAGGGCTTCATTAAATAGCGCGGACTCGCCGAGTCCACGCATGGACTCGCCGAGTCCCTTCATTAAATCCAGGCTAGCAGAAGCGCGATTCCACTCGGCGAGTCTGAGCGCCTACTCGCCGAGTCCCTTTCTAAAATTCAACAAAATACTTAAAAATAAGATACCTGGGTATCCAGATGTTACAGATTGGCTGCTACGCCGATTGCAAAAGTATTTGCACCACCTGCTCCCTTCGATTCAGTCCAACTCCTCAGCCATTCATACTAACGCTTCTCATTACACCACCGCCGCCAATCCTATCCTCCAACCAACAACCCTCTCCTCCCCCTCTCTTCGAATTCTCTACAAAAAGCTGGAATGTTGAATTAAGGAAACATTTGGTCAAGAAAGGTAACATTCCCCGGTCATGTTTACTCAAATCTTGTTGTTCCCCATTCCGTTCTCTATGTCATTTTTCTGATTTTTTTTTTGAAAAATATGTTGGTTTTATGATTTCTAAACAAACACTGTGAGTAATTGTTGAAATTTCTTTAGGGTTTGTTTATCGATAGCTAAAATGTGTATTTTGTTAAATTTATTCTCAATTGACGTTCCAAAAGTTGAAATCTTCGTGTAATTTATTTCTTCAGATTACAGTTTCACTTGAGAAAAAATTTAGGCTAAATTCAAGCCTTATAATTATATGGTTACTTTTCTTAAGGTTATTAAAGCGACAACTTTTTTTGTAACAGGTATTACAAGTGTTGAGAGACGTGACATAATTTAGACATTGTCAGCATATCTCAAATTCTTTAGGGTAAGGATTTTCTCTATTAGTTTTGTGTTGTTTCTCATAATTGAGTAATTGAGTTTCCAATTGGTCAAAGTCTTCTGTTCATTGAATTTACTCATTTTGATGAGATCCTTAATCTTGATCATAAGTCTCCCAATGCCCAGAACCCAAGATTGTTTAAATAATTGAAAAGTTTTGATCTTTATGGACCATTTTCATTATGATTGTGAAAAATGTATTTTTTCAAACTTAATTTTCTGATTATGTCTTCATGGGATTAAGAATCTTCATATCCATAATCAACCCAACAAAAGAATTGCAGGTTAATTTTTTTTGAATGCTAATATGATGACTAAGACATATTATAGGTGTTCTCGATTTAAATTTTGTAAGAAAACCCTACCAAATAAGTATTGATTCGATTCAAAAGCAATATTGGGTTTGTTTTCTAGAAAAAACCCCAAAATCGTTGTTGAGATTGATGTGATTAAAGGGGCTGACATTGTACCATTTGAAGTGCCATGTATAGGTAGAGTTTCACACTCTTCATCCATCCCAAGAAGTTCAAGTTCTTGACTTCCAAAACGTTAAATCTTGAATAAGACAAGTTCAAATTTGACATGGATTCTAATTGTTTTCAACTTGTATATAATTCAAGTCCAACACTCTTTACATAATAAGATTTAAATCACTAGTTGTTTCTACGAAAACAAACCAGTTCTTGTGGATTTTGTAGATGAAAGCCAGCTCGTTTGACACTCAAAAAGTCAAACATGAACTTAATTTCATTAAGTTTGATTTGTTGTTTAAACTTTTGGAGTCTTCTTTTATTTGTATAAGAGTATAGACTTGGACAATAGGCAAAGAAGCAAAAGAATGGTGATCCCAACAATGAGAATAGTGGTGTGAATCAATCACATTTTGATATTTCTTTAATTTCAATAGATTTTTTTTCAGTATTTCTCATGCTTATTTGATCATTCAGGTGATTCCTATGAACACTACAATCTGCATTCAAGAGCCACAAGCTCCAATTCTTTGTGAGTTAATCATGAACCAGTGTATGCATAATTTATCATATGTTCTATCATATAAAATTCAACTTAAAAGAATCTCAATCTTAATTGTTTTTTTTCCTTTTGTATACAGAAATATACCGATTGCAGATGCACTGCTATGCCATATTGAAGCACAAAAAAGGTTACAAGAGCAGTTTAAGGTAAATTGCATCATTTTCTATCACAAGATGCCTCATGAATATTACATTTCCTTTTTAGGAAAGATTCATATTTCAGAAAGTTGTCTGGTTGCTTATTTTTATCGTAAAATACAGAAAACCACAACATACTTTCACTATATTATTGATTTAAATGTGTAATTATTTTCTATAGTAATTAATATATTGTACTTTGTTGACGGTTTAAAAAACATTTTTTCCCGCTTATCGGGCTTTAATATTCCAGCAAAATAAGAAAAAAAATCACCCTTTTTATTTATATAGTTAACAAAATATAGTATTTCATTGATTTAGCCACCAACTATTATTGGGATAATCATAAAATATAACATTTTAATGGCTAAATCGATAGATGGTAATATGTTGTTATTTTATGCATTTCAAACAATGAAAATGGTCTTTTTAAATGGTCAAAAATATATAATAGTCTAATACTAAAGAAAATAGTACTTCAGACATAAGAGAACATGAACGTTACGTATTGTCAAAAAGGATGGACGAGTAAATTAAGTATCAAGCTAAAAAAATATTTTGGGATTAAAGAAAAGAAAATGTCATGGTCAATTTTTTGGACACTTGTAGAATGAATTTCAACATCAAAATATTACATTTTTGAGGGTGGATGAAATTCTAAAATTTGAAGCTTGTATGCATAGGATTTCATGTTTAATGTAGCAAATCATTTGTTTATTTTAATACATGCTTGCAGGTAAATGCTACTAAAAGGCGCAAAAGTAGAGCTTTGGATGTTAATTTTGGACTGGGAACACAATGCAAACCCACTCACCGCCACTATTGATTGCATGCTATCAAGTTTATTATGTGCATAAGATAATTAGTTTATGTTATGAATATGATGATGATCCCAAGAATGTGGATGATCGATTATGGGGTTATGAGAATCATCAAAAAATTAATCAAAATCAGCTCACAATTAAAAATTATGCTACACTATACTCAGTTCTTGCTTTTCCTTTGCAAAGTGATGATAAACTTCAATTGCTTCTTCTAATGACAAAACAACATCTCCTTTCTTAGGAACCAAATCCTTTGTAATTATAGGACGATACAAATCATCTTGAAGCGAACAAGTGTTTCCTATCAAGAAATTAACATTTAAATTTCATAAATAATTAATTTATCTTGTTATATATAATAGATAAAAACTTGCCTTTATATTCTTCCACCATTGTTGATCTTGAAGTTACTCTTGATGAATTTATGCAAAGAGTTGGTTTCCTTGTTGATGAAATCACCAGATGTTGAATTAATTTTTTCTTGTGAAGACATATCTTACAAGATTAATTAAATCTTATAAACAACTCTCAATGTTTATGTATATACGAGAGATACAAAGATGTTAATTGAATTGACTTAATTTTAAATTTATGAAGATGTCGGGAAAGAGTTGAAGTAATGGTTTGATTTGCAAAAGTTATTAAATTGCAGTTTTTAAATTATAACCGATCCTGAAAGTGAGGAATTCTTATTTTTGTAAATTACATAAGTAACCTTTTTACATAATTAAAACAGTTTTTAGTTAAACATTATGGTTAATGATGTGTAATCTCCTTATTGGATGTTTTCATTTTCACATAATATTTGCATTTTTGCATGAGCCTTCCCCTATATATATATTTGTTATTATGAAAGTACATTTTTTTTATGTAAATATTATTTCCAAAGATAAACTTTTTGGATGCACTTTTTAAAAAATAGGATGTTATAAATTGATAACCGAACTTATGTTTAAATGTACTCTCAACTTAAACCGACAACAATGAAGTAAATATGTTTATTGTTTCATTTTCATTTTTATTTTATTTTGGGATGTTTAGATATGGATGATAGAGGAGACTGTGTAATGTGGTCGATGAAATGCCTACGATATATTTTTTATTTTAGTTATGTTTGGCAAAACAAACTAGCATGTTTGATAAACCACAAAATTTTTAGCTTAGAAAGTAGTTTTTTTGATAATTTACTTTGAGATAGTTTTTTATAGGCTTATGAAATTTTTTCAAAAATATTCCAAATATGCTTTTATTCATTTTTTTTTTAGTTATATATCTAAATGTCCTAATAGGTCATTTTGCATTTGCACTCTAGCTTTTAATTTTTTTTTATGAAACATTATTAATTCATAAGCTAAAATATCAACTAAAAACTAGTTTTTAAGCTAAAAGTTAATTTTTTAGTTAAGACCATTATGTTTTATTTCTATAGGATTCTTATTTCATTTGAGAAATATGTTTATCGTAAAATTTATAGGGCTATTAATATGTGAATTGATGCTTGTTTGTTCAAAATAAAATGAATAGAGTAAATTGACGTTTATTTTGTATGTTGGGCCTTGGGGGTGTTGGATTTTGAGTGGATGCGAATAAGCAATCGAGGCCCATTTCTTCTTCATTTAAAGGAAAGTCAAATTTTAAACTACAACTCTTCGAACATCAAAAAGTCAAAAAGAAACATCAAATCGCGCACTTCAAACCCGTAAGCTCATTTTAGCATCAACCCCACGCTCTGCAATCTCCATTCGACTTCAAAACCCTAGCGACAAACACTAGGAAGCTTCGTTCACTTCGCATCATACCCTCAAAAATTCATTCACAATATTCGAAATTTCGAAATGTTCATGTGAAATTAGGGCTCATCTCAGCGGATCGAAATATTTCAGTTTTCCCCTTTCTCGCTCCATTAAAGGTAGGGTTTTGTATTTTTGTATTGGTTGCTTTCAATTAATTTACTTAGATATCTAATTTTTTTCTTGACATGGGAGTAGTTCGTAAAATGGATTACAATCCATCGGTTCGCCCAAGACGTCCTGTTCGTAACAACAACAATTACCATGGTAATAGTACTTACAACGAGTACGAAAACGATGAATTTGAAGAAGAAAACGAAGGTTTGAATCAGAGATACGGTTTATCAAGAGGACGATGAAGAAGAAGAAGAAGACGATGATGAATATCAACATGGATATTATAGGGTTTCCGGAGGTGGAATTGATACAGGTGAATCTTCTAGGCGTCACCAGAAGAAGCGAAGATTAGATAATTTGGTTTCAAATTATGAATTCGCCCCTCGTACCAATGCTAATCCTTCTAAAGAAGCTTATGGTGGTGTTCCTGATAGGTCAGGGGATGAATGGAGTGAAAATGCAACTTTTGTGTTGTTAGAAGTGTGGGGCGATAGGTATTTGCAGTTAGGGAGGAAGAGTTTAAGGGGAGATGATTGGGTTGAGGTTGCTGAAAAGGTTTCAGAGATGTGTAAAATGGAAATCAATGAAACACAATGTAGGAACAGGTTGGAGACATTGAAGAAGAAGTATAAGAAAGAGAAAGCAAAAATGGAGGATATGGGAATGGGTGGAAGAGGATCAGAAGGGTATCATGGGAAATGGGGATTCTTTAAACGAATGGATATGTTATTATCTCCAAAGAAACAACACAATGGTTTGCCTTGTGGGGTTGATTCAGGGGAATATGTGTTTATGAATACCAAAGTTTATTTAAATCAATCAAATGCCTTGGATGAGATGAGGGATAGCCCTGGGGAATCAGAGTCTGATGAAGATGATTCTGATGACAGGAAAGATGATGATGGATTTAGATTGTTGGCTGAATCTGTTCAGAATTTTGGGGAGATTTATGAGAAGATCGAAGGTAGAAAAAGACAGCAGATGATGGATTTGGAGAAGATGAGGATGGATTTTCAGAGAGAGTTGGAATTGCAGAAGAAGCAGATTCTTGAAAGGGCACAAGAGGAAATTGCAAAAATAAGGGAAGGAGATGATGAAGATGTTAATTCGGTTGAAAATTTAAGTGGATAACCAGGTACCTTTCTATTCCTTCTTTTATTAGCTTTGGCTGGAATTCGGATTCAATTACATTCCAATCACACTGTTATGAGTACATAATTGAATTCTGTTGGAATTCAATTCCATGTGATTTCCTCCTTGTTAAAAATTACTCAAATGCCCTTTTAACTCTATAATTTCACAAGTATTCTTGAAGCATTCTATTACCAAAGCTTTGAATTATATTTAATCTTGTTTGCAGTGGCAAAAGGATAGATGAAAACCGAAGGTGTTACATATGAAGTCTTGATCATTTCTTCCTTCTTTCTTCCTTATCTAGGAATAAGAGAGGGAGGTTAGCATGTTTTATTGATTGTATTTTGACTTGAAGCTATTATGTGTCTCAAGTAATAATATAATGTTATCCACATTTTTAATAAGCCCAAATCTATTTCTTTCCTCTTTATGTAAATCGTATTGCATTCACATCCACATATATATATATATATATATATATATATATATATATATATATATATATATATTGTTTTTGTCATTAGAGTACACATGTCTAGACTGAACTGAACAAGCTTTCAAGGGTTATTTTCGATGATTGAGGATGAAGAGGGTACTTACGTCTTTTGGACATATGACAGATTGAGATTGAGTCAATGTCCCACCTTCTTGAGTTGATGGTACATGTGAGAATAAGGTTACATAGGTCTTTTAACAATTGGTAAAATGTGAAATTAAATGTGAAATGAAGTTAAAATCGTAAAGTTATTTGTCGAAGACTGCAAAAAGTTGATTTGTACCTTTATGATCGCATCTAGACTTCATTAAATCACCAAATAAAATAAAATCCTCTTCCTCGATTCGAATAAGCTTTTAAAGGAATCCTCTATCAAACCTGAGGAGCATAGATATCGATACAAGTAACCTACATATTAGATGTCCACATACCTTCAACGACCAAAAAATATTCTAAACAAGTAACATGACTTGAAACAAACACTGACAGATCCTATATACTAAGGATTCCCCTTTTCGAAGAACATTCAAAATCAAAGTGCATATTCCCCTATAATGTGTTTATCATACAAATATCAACGTGTGTCTTATTTGTTTCTTGAACATCCAAAAGAATGATACAATGGTGTCCACATAATCCTTTGGTTAACCGATGTTTATAACCACTCTGAATTCCACAAGAACACTTCATTTATTTATTGTACAAATTAAGCTTCTAAACCACAATAATATATTCTGAATAGGTCAATTGGTTGATATTGTAACAAAAGTATAAATGTAATGATATAATTGAGAAAAAAAAAATTGATGTCAAAATCGAAATTTTATGGTAATATAATGACTTTCTTACAATTTAAAACTGAGTGTCAAAATTAAAATTTTGGTAAACTAAGTGAATTTATTGCAATTTGGAAAACGTGGTTATCGGGAGAACAGGAAGAACCGGTCATTTGGTTGACATTGTAACAAAATTGTAAATATAGTCACATAATTGAGAAAAAAAAATATCAAAATCAAAATTTTATAGTAAAATAGTGACTTTCATGCAATTTGCACTAATAGTTTTAATAAAATACATAGAGTTAACAATGTTATTTATCATATATATACTTTTTTCTTTTCTAAGAATTATTTTTTTAAGAATAAATTACATGAATCGTCCTTGTTGTTTAGTCCACTATGCGCATTTTGTTTTTACCTTTTGTTTTTCATTTGAACCATCTCGGATTAGTTTTAAACTAGCATTTTTTAATCATGTCAGGCATAAAATGACTATTTTACTCTTATTAATTTTCTTTTTTTGTTTTTCACTTGCACGTTTCAATATCGATGCCACTCCTCTGTCGCCAACCACCTAAGACCACCGAAATTGATTTTGAACCTCAAAGAACAAAAATCCTCGTCTAGAACCCTCGATTTCTAAAACATTAATGCTTTTTGCATCCTTGGTGAGAGAGAAACATAGTGTTTTTCTAAATGCCTATGAGGTTTTTTCTTGTTGCTCGATTTCTGCAAGATCCCTTGTAGCTCGATTTCTACAAGTTTTTCTCTTCAGATTTAGGTTGTAGTGGCCAAGAGTGTTTTTTTACATCTGATTTTTGATTTATAGATTTTCATTTCTTTCGGGTATTTGAGTGTCACTGGAGTTGTTTCAAGGGCGGTGGTGAGTGGTGATGTTGGACGATGGTGGGTAGTGATGTTGATTTTCAGTTGGTGAGTGGTGAGAGGTGATGTAGGATGGTGATCGGAGATGGTGGCCGATGAGAAGAGGTGATCAATGTGGGGAGAAAGAAGAAGAATAGGGGGAAGGGTGGGGTGGTGGATTCATCTTATATTAATTATAGTTAAATAATAAAAATAAAAATAAAAGATAGTTAAATAATAAAAATTAAACAAAAGGAAATTAAACAGAAGCAATATATAGTTATTTAATGTCATTCAGAAACGAAAATTGCAATAAAAGAACAGCACAAAGCCGTCTATGTAAAAAAACAGGTTGAAACTCACATATTGAATCAAACCACATGGATGATTCGTGCAATTACCCTTTTTTGTAATTAAACTATAAATAGAATGATTAAAATTATTTCTCATAACATATTTCAGTGTCTTTCTCTATATTCTAATAATTACCATGATTAAATTCGAACGTAAAATTACAAATAAAATATAGAGTAAATTACACGAATGGTCCTTATGATTTGGAGTAAGTTGCGCGTTTGGTCACTAACTTATTTTTTTAACTCAGGTGGTCCTTACTGTTTGTTTTTGTTGCGCACTTGGTCTCTGTCTTACCTAAAAAGACTATTTTACCATTGATTTTTTAATTTATTTAAATAAACACACCCCAACCCCAACCCCACCCCACCTCACTTTATTTTACCTAAAAAGACTATTTTACTTTATTTAAATAAGGTTATAATAGTAATTTTGGGTAAGACAGAGACCAAACACGTAACAAAAACAAACAGTAGGGACCTTCCGAGTTAAAAAAATAAGTTAAAGACGAAACACATAAGTTATCCCAAACCATAGGAACCATTCGCGTAATTTACTCTAAAATATATAACAAAAATGGCAAAAAAATAATAACGTGGAAGAAATAAAGAGTTGGTTTTTTGAGTTGATGAGTGTAGAGGCTCGTGAGGTGTTTTCCCCAACCGTTCTTAATAAAACCCAACATCAATTTCTTCCTTTTTGGGTTGTTTGTGGTTGAAAAAACTATTCCCCAATAAAGAAGGAAACGAAAAATAACATGTTACAATAGTTACATCTTCTCTGTTTATTTTTTAATTTCATTTTCTTTTGTTAAAAGTTCTAAAACGTTGGTAAATACATTCAAAGAAACTACCTCTTATAACAAAATTATTAGGTTATCCTTAAGAAATCACTTATCTTTTATGTATCTTATATAAATATATATATTTTAAAAGCTCACAACTATTTTTCTCAAACATTTCTATATAATTACAGTATACAACTCTAAATAAAAGCCATAACTTATGGCTTCCCATTATTTTTGCAAATCATACCATGTATTACACAGTATTTATTTTGTGTACTATGACTTTTAAACATTTATGTTAACAAAAATAATTCGATACTGGCTACTTCAATAAAACATATATATCCAACTATTATCTATTTATTATTCAATATATTTAATCTTAATTTTAAGACATTATTCCAAACAATATTAAATCAAAACGATGCAATTGATAAGGTTATAAGAATATACATTATTTGATTTCTCTAATAAAAAATTTCTATCAGAAAATATTAGTTATCTTTTTTTTTTTTTTTTTTTTTTTTCAAAAAGTAAAATCGTTGAATACTGATTAAGTGATTAAACATTGCTATATATATATATATATATATTAATTATAATTATAATTCCAAAAGAATGGATATATTATAATAAACTGTGAAACTAAAGAGAAAGAAAAGAAAGTACCTGGGGTACGGTGGCTTTGAATGCAAGTATGAAGCTAGTCACGTAAATGCATGAGTAGTAGAGTTGGATTGGTTGAGAAATAAATATTAATACTAATAATACAATTTTTTTAAGAAAAAGTGTAAATTTCAGTTGAGAAGTTGTAGAAAATTGAATTTGTATCACAAGAGAAATGTATATATAAACCCCATTTTCGAGTACTCTATTGATATACCAATTTGAATGCTCGGTAAGATGAAACAGAGGGGAGTTTTTAAGGGTGAGGTTTTTGTGGGATTCTTGTTTGCTTTGTTAGTGGGAATTAATTGTATCGAGGGGAGAAAATTGGTGGCGGCTGAAAAAGATGGTGGTGACAATGTGGTTGAAGTAAAGAAACCAGAATGGTTTCTTGATGGTCAACCAGGATTGAACTTTGGTGGAGGTGGTGGTTGGGGTGGAGGCGGTGGTGGTGGAGGTTCTTTTAGTTTTGGCAGTGGGGATGGGGTTGGTTTTACGATCGGAGGTGATGTTAAGAAGGTCGATAAACCTGATTGTGTTGGAAAAGAAAAAGGTCATGATGGTAAAGGCAAGAAGCTTCATAAGAAAGAAAAGGGCCACCATGGTCACGACGGTGGTGATATTGGCAAAGGTGGTGGTGGTGGAATTGGGAAAGGAAAAGGTGATGGGATTGGAAAAGGAAGCGGAGGTGGAAGTGGAGGAATAGGGAAGGGAAGTGGTGGTGGGATTGGAAAAGGAATTGGCGGTGGTGGTGGAGGAATAGGCAAAGGAGGTGGTGGAGGAGTGGGAGGTGGAATTGGTGGAGGTTCTGGTGGCGGAGGAGGAATAGGAAAAGGAGGTGGTGATGAAGGGGGAGTAGGAGGTGGTGGAGGTGCAGGAGGTGGCGTTGGAGGTGGTGGAGGAGCAGGAGGAGGTGCAGGAGGTGGCGTTGGAGGTGGTGGAGGAGCAGGAGGGGGTGGTGGAGTTGGTGGGGGAGTAGGAGCGGGTGGTGGAGTTGGAGGAGGAGGTGGTGGAGCTGGTGGAGGAATAGGAGGTGGAGGAGGAGCAGGAACTAGTGGTGGGATTGGTGGAGGTAGTGGAGGAGGTATAGGAGGTGGTGGTGGGACGGGTGGAGGAGTTGGAGGTGGTTTTGGCGGAGGCATGGGAGGTGGTGCCGGAGGGACTGGTGGTGGGATGGGAGGAGGTGGTGGCGGTGGCGGTGGAATTGGTGGGGGTGGTTCTGGAGGAGGATTTGGAGGAGGTATTGGGAAAGGATCTGGTGGAGGATTCGGTGGTGGGGCAGGTGGAGGATTTGGTGGAAGTAGTGGTGGAGGCTTCGGTGGTGGTGCTGGCGGCGGATTTGGAGGAGGAACAGGCAGTGGTGGCGGAGTTGGCGGTGGTGGAGGCTTCGGTGGAGGTGGAGGTGGAGGTGTGGGAAAAGCAATTGGAGGAGGATTCGGCAGTGGCGGTGGTGCTGGTGGCGGAGATAATGGTGAAATTGGTGGCTAAGCTGCTTGACAAATATATTGTAGTTGCATTATGTACTCAAATTGTTTTCAATAACTTCCATTTAATCTTTGATGTATGATCGTTTTTCATTTGAATTTGTATTATTATTTAATTCTGTTTGAAGTTGTTAATAATATGCTCAAATTAACGTTTATAAAGTATAAATCTATTAATGGAAATCAAAAGCCCATATTTGAAAAATAAAATTATGTCATCTACTTATTAAGATTAAACTTTATGTTAACATATGATAGCATTCCTTTGTATTGACTAAACATGGACAAATTAACCCACACAATGTGATGGATGTTCGTTTTCCTTTTCATATAGAATTAAATCTTAGTTTGCCAAAGACAATAAAATACAGGTAATGTTTTTTATATCGATAATTAGTAAATTAAAATGATAAAAACAATTGAATCGTAGGAACAAAAAAAAAAAAAAAAAATCAAAACCTTCATTTTTTCTGAACTTCAGTTTAACTTTATTCCAAAATGGAAAACTCGACCTAAAAAAGTTTTAACCACCTTCTGTTATAAATCTTCTACAAATTCAAAGTTAACGTTAAAACCCCTACGATATAAGTTAGTAATTAAATTTGGTCACTGAAATTCTAAGTACTAACTATTGATAAGTCAAAAAATTATATTTTCTATTTGATTATAATGTTATAACATAAATTATTAACACATCGTCTTTAACTTTATATTCTTCTCAGTAAAAAATTAAAGGTCGCTTGTTTGAACAAAAGAGAGATTTTTTTTTAAAGAAAAAATTTGAAATACGTTTTCACTATACCAATCACCAAAGACAGAAAACATACACAAAAAGACAAATCTTAGATAGGACCAAGAAAAAGACCAATAACGAACCGGTATAAAATGAGACCGAACTGAAAAACAACGGTCCGACGTCGTCCGGGACTAGTCCAAAAAAGACCAGACCGACATAAGACGGGTCTAAAAAAAGACCAAAAGCCAAAATTTATAAACACACCATTTTTGTATTAAGTACATAATTTTTAACCATACATTATCCAACTCTTTTTTTTAATTAAATTTGAATGTATCGTTTTTAATAAATATTAATTTATCATTTTGGTGTTAAACACACATTCGTTAACGGAAAAACTCGAAACCGAAATAGAAAAACAAAAAATATTGAAATCAAACCGAAAAAAAAACGGTCCAAGACTGTTCGGGATCAGTCCGAGAAAAAACCAGACTGTTCCGAAACCGATTCCAAGAAAAACGCACCATTTCGAGACTGAACCAACACCGGTCCAAGACCACGAATGTCATGAAACTTGAGGATACGTGTAGAATAAAATGATGGACTTAATGTCTATAGGGAAAATGACATTTGAGGGTAATAAAGTGTCCGCCTTGTATTCATGAGGCCCCTTATCTTTTTTTTTGTCTTTATTATACCATTGAACTTAATATTCCTGCTCACCAAAACCATCACGACTGGTTATCACCTGTTTTACCGGTTACCACATTTAATTAGAGATGACATGTCATATTACGTGGACTTAGAACACATTTCATACCCGTTTCTCTTTCACCCCCTTTCTCCTTACCGTTAGGGTTCGGTAAATTGAAGAAAACAGTTCAATCGAAGAATACGGTTACGAAATTGAAGAGAACTGGTGAATGCGAGTGTTATAGTGAAGAAGATGGCCTCCGATTCCAAACAATGTAAGTATTTGACAGTTTATATACATTATAATGGTTTATTCGCACCAAAACCATTAGTGTACTTGAACGCTGTTGTTGTTTCAATCTGTGATGTCGATTTTGGTGCAATGGATCTCAAAGAGTTTAAGTTGTTCATTGCAAAGTTGATTGAAGGCAGTTGCGATAATGTATATTACTGCACTAGAAATGAACCATTGGCAGAGGGTATTAGGAGAATTGGGAATGATGCTGACTACTTTTAGTTTATTGAAACGGGTTATAGTGATGAAGCTGGTCTAAGAATGAATGTGTATATAGACCACGAAAATGAACCTGTACTTGATTGGGCTGATATTGAAGTAGTAGAAGATGATGAAGGGCATTATTCTGAGGAAGACCCGGATGATGATAATGATTCACAACTTTCTGATGATATTCCATATGAGCATGAAGCAGATGATTACATTCCTTCTCTCGACAATACTATTGGTGATGAATTCTTACACTGGGTGTCAGGTATGTGTAAGGATATAAATGATGAGGCTGAAACTGATGAGGTTGAAACCAAGAATGGGGATGACAAACCAGTGTACCCTGTCCATAATGAGAACCAAAAATGGGACAAAATGGTGCCAATTCTAGGTATGAGATTCTCTAACCCCATGGAATCTAAAAATTGTGTGACTAACTATGCAGTGAAGAATGGGTACAACCTTTATTTTGAGAAAAATAATAGTCAGAGGTTATTAGTGAGATGTTGTAAAGATAACAAGAACCCCTCTTGTCCTTTTAGACTGTGGGCTTCCTGGATGAGTAGTGAAAGGTCTTTCCAGATTAAGTCATTAGTTGATGACCATAACTATTCAAGAGTCTTCAAACTTGGTTCCATTGTAACATATAAATGGATTGGAAAGCATTTTAAGAATCAACTTTTGAAGAACCCCAAAATAAGCATAAGGAAAATGAAAGCCAAATTAAGTACAAAGTTTAACTTGATTGTTAGTGTCACTCAATGTAGAAATGCTAGGAGATATGCTTTGGATGAGATAGAGGGTAGTTTGATAGAACATTATGGTAAAGTATGGAGTTATGGAGAAGAAATAATGAGGACAAATCCTGGTTCAACAGTAAAGATAGATGTGAATGTCATGCCTGATTCCACCACTTACTTTTCTAAAATGTATGTTTGTTTTAAGGGTGTGAAGGATGGTTGGATTGCAGCATGTAGGAGGGTAATAGGGGTAGATGGTTGTTTTTTAAAGGGTATATGTAGAGGCCAACTGTTAGCAGCTGTGGGTATGGATGCAAACAACCACATCTTCCCTATTGCATGGGCCGTGGTGGAAGTTGAAAATAAGGAAACATGGAAGTGGTTTCTTGACCTCATTCTGGATGACATTGAAATGGGAATTGGTCATGGATTGACCCTCATATTAGACCAACACAAGGTATATTTATGTTTTGTTTTGTTTGAGTTGAATGTTTTTGTTATATCATCTATTTCATGTTTTCTTTCAGGGATTAATAGAGGCTGTCAAAGAAAGGGTTCCAGCAGCAGAGCATAGACAATGTGCTAGACACATCTATGCTAACTTCAAGAAAAAATTCAAAGGTGAACAATATAGGAAGTTGTTTTGGGCAGCAGCTGCTAGTACTACTCAACCTAAATTTGAGGCAGAAATGAATTCCATAAAAAAATTAACCCTTTGGCTTATGAACACCTCATGGAAAGGGACCCTAAAAGTTGGTGCAGGGCATTCTTTGAAGTGGACAGGGCTTGTGATGCTTATGAGAATGGCATATCAGAAAGTTTCAACTCTGTTATTGATCTTGCTAGGAAGAGGCCACTCCTCACCATGTTGGAAGAGATTAGGATTTATGTAATGGAGAGGATGTATAAAATGTTGCTAGAGGGAGAAAGTTAGGGGAATTTAAAAATATGTCCATCTATAAGATTAAAGATATCAAAGTTAAAGAAACAGCAAAGGTATGACATAATTTCTATTTTATAAGTATTATTTTCTCATCTATAAGATTAATATAACTTCTTATTTTTGTGGGCAGATTTTGGGGAGTTATACCTTTTGGGATACAACAATATGGGGTTAGGATTGGAAATGATGGATATGTTGTGGACGTTAACAACAACACATGGGGATGTAGATCTTGGCAAGTATCAGGTATCCCATGTGTGCATGCAGTGGCAGCCATTTCATACCTCAACAGGAATGCAGAGGATTATGTTGCACCATGGTTCCATACAGCCATGTTCTTGACTTGTTACAACCATACCATTAATCCACTTAATGGTAGTTCCATGTGGCCTGAAGTTCCCTACATGAAGTCATTGCCTCCCCAAAAAAGAAGGTTACCAGGAAGGCCAACCCTTAAAAGGAAAAGGGATCAATCTGAGAGGGAAAGCCAGGGGAAAACAAGGTGTACTATCTCAAAAGCAGGTGCAGTTATGAGATGCACCATTTGTAGAGAAACGGGGCACAATAGATCAACATGTCCTACAAGACCAGAAGCTGCAACATCCACTTCACTGCCGAAAAAGAAGAAAGCTAAAAAATGTAAAACAAAGAAAGGTATGCTATTAAAACAATGTAATTATACGGCAACATCCAGCTCATTAACTACACCTTTGTATAGCAGGTTCTGTGGAACCAGTTCAAGTAGATCCAGTTCAAGTAGATCCAGTTCAAGTGGAACCAGTTCAAGTAGATCCAATTCAAGTGGATGCTCCTTTACAACCTGTTGATGATGTTCAAGTAGATGATCATGCTCCACATGTTGATGTTCAAGTACCTGTTGCAACTGGGAAGAGGACACGAAAATACTCAGAAAGAATTACCAAGATTGGGTTGAGGAGGAAGGTTTTGAAGAAAAAAGGAAGCACTGATCACCACCCAATGGTGTTGGAATGAATTTATGTTTTATTATTTTTGGGAATACAAACTTTTAGTCTTTTAATTATGTAATTGGGAAAACTTTTAGTCATGACACATCTTTTGACATATTAGGACAAATGTGGGCATAACTTTTGTAATGGTGCACATGCTAATGGAATCTTACAAGTTTGTCTTTTATCTATATTATATGATTGGGTGTTATACTTAGGGGCCGTTTGATAGTTGCTGTCTGGGAAAGTGCTGTATGGGAAAGTGCTGTCTGGGAAAGTTTTCTGACTGGGAAAGAAACAATGCTGTTTGATTGTACATATGACTGACTGTGCTGAATGATGAAAAATGACCATATTACCCTGCTGTTCTATTCTGTGATGGATGAAGTTGCTGAATGATTATAAAAACATATAAATTATCATACAAAATCAAAATTACACAATAATCATTTAAAAATCCGAATACAAATTGTCTTACAAAGTAATTAAACATAAATCAATCAAAATCCAAATAGAAACATACTGAAATTGAAAATAACATACTAATTTGCATACATCTCTAAAGTAAACCGGGTGAAAGTAGTTGATTAGCAATCTGCTCACGCAAAGTAGTCATGTATTCAACGGCTTCTGAACCCCACTCTATGCCTTGTGTGTTTTCGCCTTCAATTCCTCCACCGTGCACATCAAGATTAACCATAACGTTCTCTTCAAAATTTTCAAATAACTCATCTTGGATATTGTATTTCCTTATAAAATTATGGACCACGACACAAGCAATGACTATGTCTCTTTGTATCGGAAAAGGATAAGGAGCCATTTGTTTTAAGATTGGGAATCTCGCCTTCAATACACCATAAGCACGCTCAATAACATTTATAAGTTGTGCATGAGCAAGATTGAACCTTTCTTCTTTAGTTAAAGGTCGACGTCCTCGAAAATCGGCTAACCAATACCTACCACGGTACGGAGCCATGAACCCACGAGTGTTGGTATATGCGGCATCACAAATATAATATTTATCTGTAGGTGAGTGACATTTATTATATAAAGAATATAGATAATAAAATTTATATAAAGAATATAGATAAACTTATATAAATATTAGAAACCTGGTGGAGGGAATGGAAATCCGGAAGACGGATTGAATGCAACTTCTTTCAAAACTCTTGAATCATGTGCTATGCTTTCCCATCCAGCCCATACAAAGGTGAATATCATATCAAAATCACAAATTCCTAATACATTTTGATAACATTCACCTTTTCCTCTTCCCCTATACCTCGTTTGTTGATCAACGGGCACAACTGCATGTACAAGAGTTCCATCTAGTGCACCTATTGCTCCGGAAAATATAGCTTTTAACCGTCTTTGTCGTTCTGAGGCATGTCTTGTTGGATTAGGATTTGTTGGTACTATAATTTCTTTTGCAAAACACATCATTGCATTTAAGACCTCATGAAAACATTGATGAATGGTTTGTGTGGAGTGATGAAATCTTCCTTTAACCGCTCGAAAACGTTCATTATGTCCTATAACATGTAAAAACATAGCCATCTTCTCTTCAATGCTTATCGTTCTACTAGCTTGCAACCAACTTCTTTGCGTAAAATGATTGCATAATAATACAAATGCCTCTTGTGTAAGACGCATCATATCGTAACATTCGATAGGGTCCCCGTGTATCAAATCTTGCGTATACGCATACCCGCTCGAATCGTTATCTCTTATTCTATGAATTTTTTTTAGCCTTGGCCGGTTTAACCTCAACCAATACAAGACAAGTAAAAGAAAAGCTAAAGCTTCACCATTAGAAATCATACTTGACCTGTAAAATACAATTACATATAACATGTCAAATATAAAATAAACAACCAAAATATTTATAATATGTCCAATATAAAGTAAATAACAAAAAAAATATATTTATCTAATAACACAAAAGTGATGCACCAAAACCTAACATCCAAAAGTCATGCAACAAAGAGATAGTAAAAGTAATCAAATGTAACATCTAAAAAGTTATCAAAGGTAACCAAACTTCATTCCTACACTCCTCACCCACGACTCACAAGTAGTAGGCGTAAGTCGTAACCAAACTTTCCTAATATCGGCACTTTCAGCAAATAACAAAAGAGTGGTCTTGTGTCTTTCATCTTCTTCTCCCCATCCCATTTTTGCCAATTTCTCCATACATGCATCTATGTCCTTATCCATTTCACTTCTTTGATTTTGTTCACTTCTTTGGTTTTGTTCCACAAGCGTCCTTGCAAACTTGATGATTTCCTCCTCAACTTCTAGTGCCCTTGCGTTTCTCTTGTTTCCACCAGCTCTTTTGTTTCCACCCACTCTCATATTTTTCGAATGTCCGGAGGATTCTTCACTTGCAGCTACATGTTGGGTTGAGTCGGGAGTTTCCGTTTGGGTGCATTGAACCTCATCAAAGTCATGCTCAGTGTATTCAGGAGTAGGACGGGGGAGTGTAGAAGATGGCCCCCAACTATCAAAGCCGGTAGAGGTTGCACCTTCAAATAATTGGGTGCACAGATCAGGGAAAAGGAGGGGCACAGTTTTCAAAGCTCCTACAATCTTGTTCAACTGTTTAACATTTTGAAATTATCAAACCATTAAAAGAAAATAATCATATTTCTACTATTTGTTTTAAAATTAGACGAATATATATTACCTTCGTCTCCGTCTCCCATTGTTCGTCAGTCAAATTAAATTTATTTGTTAAAGGATCATATATATTTCCGGTTTTGCTTTTAAGTTTCACCCAAGCTTGATACTTTCCTTTGTAGTAGTCGTAGTGGTTTCTCATCTGTTTTTGGTCAACGACTAAACCGTGTTCCTTTAATAATTTTTCGGCTACAACTTTCCATGAATTTGGTTTGAGGGCACTACCCTCACGACCATTTGTGGTTACTTCTTGGATACAAGCATCAAGAAAAGTTTTGTCTAAACTTTGGTCCCAAATGATTCTAGATTTCCTTTGTGACATGTCTATAATAAAAAAAAACAACAAATATAACCAAAAATCAACATGTATATACAAAAAAAACAGCATATAAAACCAAAAGGCACCATACATATACAAAAAAAAAACATATATAACCAAAATTCAACATTTATATACAAAAAATAGCATATAAAACCAAAATTCAGCATGCATATAAAAAAAACTGCATATATAACCAAAATTCAGCATGTATAAACAAAAAACAGCATGTATAATCAAACTTCAGCATGTGTGTACAAAAAACAGCATATATAGAACCAAATTTATGCATTTATATACAAAAAAACAGCATATATGTTCATAATTTCAGCATGTATGTTAAAAAAAACAGCACATTTATAACTAAAATTCTGCATGTATATATAAAAAACAGCATTTACAATCAAAATTTTACATATATATACAAAAAAAACAGCATATATATTCATTAGTTCAGCATGTATGTTCAACAAACAACATATATGTTCACAAAAAACAGCATCCTGTTCACAAAAATCAACATATTTGAACAAAAATCAACATGTTCTAATAACCACAACATGAATGTATGCTTTAATAACCACAAAAACATGTTCTAATTTTGATTTCAACCACAAAAACAAGTATAATGCACAAATTCTAAAAAATAAGAAATCTGGAAAAAAAACTTGTTCACAAAAACATGTTTTGATTTTGATTTCACTCATAATTTCGAAATCAAGAAAAAAGAAAGATTAATTGAAAATCCTTGCTGATGGATCGAGAAAAAAAAAAGAAAAAGATGAGAATCTTGTTGATGGATCGACAAAAGGAGAAAACGAAACCTGTGGGGCGGAGCAGTAGGGCGGCGGTGGTCTGCTTGGCGGGAGGAGGTTGGCCGGCGACGGAAGATGGATGCAATGGAAGGTGGGTAGAGTCGATGATGACCGATTGAAGATTGCAGCGACGATGTATGCGTTTTTTTTTGTTAGGGCACAAATGTCCAACGCGTCCTTCTTTTCCATTCAGACTTCTTTTTGTGGCTGTGTGGGAAAGCCCAATCTTACCGGGAAAGACGAAGTTTTTTGTGTAAAACAAACAGTCTTTCCGGCCCATTCAGCCGGAAAGATCTTTTTGGGGCTGGAAAGACACTTATCAAACAGGGCCTTAATCTGGACCATTTTACCCCTGCATCATGTCCAATTCACTAACCAGTTAATATAAAAGATTTAGTCTTAATACATTAAGAAATGTTTGATGTTGTTGTTGTGGTTAATATGGACCATTTTACCCCTGCATAATCCCCAATTCACTAACCTGTTAAACACACTAATATTTCTTTGTAACCACTCAAAACATCAAACTATCATTAGTAAAAAAAATTAGTCTTAAAACATTAAGAAATGTTTGATTTTGTTGTGGTTAATCTGGACCATTTTACCCTTGGATCACATTAACACATTAACAATTGATTATTGGTATACTTAATCTGGACCATTTTACCCCTGCATCATGTACAATTCACTAACCTGTTAAACACATTAATATTTCTTTGAAACCACTCAAAACATCAAACTGTTATTAATCAAAAAGATTTAGTCTTAATATATCAAACAAAGTACAACATTGTCATTGAATACAACTTCACTAACTACTTCTTAAACACAAACAACAGAAAGAACACAATCATCAGAACTTTATGAGTAAATAGCTTCCATTTGATTTTTTCAAACTCTTGTCTAACAACCAAAATTTCTTGTTCCATCTTCATCTTACATATGCTGATCTGGTTTTCCAATGTAGAAATTTTGAGGGTTAAATTGCACAGTTCTTTTTGGTCCTTCCCACAACTGACTTCATTATCAGGGTTTCAGGCTCCAACCATTCCCAAAACTTGCATTTTGGTCCTTCATTTTTGAAAAAAGTAACAAATTGGTTAAAGAAAGAACAAAGAAAGAACATTAAACCAAAAAGATAAAAACATTTGTTTTACCATGGAGTTAGGGCACAATCTGAATTTTTTCCTGGATTGTCTTTAGTTCGTGAAG